TGGCAGAGATGGGGACCACTTTAGACCGGATAGTTAGGAAGGGCCCCTCTGAGTCGGTGACATGTGAGCTGAGATGGAAGGAATGACACAGCCACCCTGGCAAGTGCCGTAGGAAGAGCTGTGCAGGCAGACAGGCGCTTGGCTTATCTGAGGACCAAAGAAGAGTCCAGTGAGACTGGCACCTTGTGAGCAAGGAGGGGCTGGTACCCGGGGAGGCTGGGGAGGCAGGCGGCAGCCAGCTCAGACAGCTCTCTCTGGCCACGGCAGGGAGTTCTGGTCCAAGAGTGATGGAGCAAAAATCAATGGGGTGATGCGAACCGGGTCTCTCTGACCCTGAGGCCTCCTTGCCTCACGCTGCCTTCCAGAAATTCCTTCATGCTTGTCCACCCGTCCAGCCATTGGGTCTTCAGTAACTGTCTCTTATGTTTCAGACTAGAATGCATAAGAAGATACAGTTCTCAATCTTTGGATAGAAAGGCAGATAACCAGCTGGTACAATGCAGTGTGATAACTGCTCTGAGTAAGAAAGCAGAGGTTGTGTGGAACCGTTTACAAGGGCCCCCAGTACAGCCTGGTGGGGGTTGTCAGAGGAAGCTTGACGAGGGAGGTGGCGTTAAGCGGAGAACTAGACTGGCCTTCTTATGGGAAAGATGGTGCCTGGGTTTCATTTTCTTCATTTGAGCCTGTCTGGCACTGGCCGTGACCTTCTGACGGCTTATTTACCTTTTTCTTATTTTTTGAAAAAACGTCTTACCTATAAATAGGACAAATATTCTTTCAAGTGTTGCTAAGAATTTTAGCAGTGTGTACAATGCGGGCATTCTAAGCAAGCTCCATAAATATTTTATTGGTAGCTGAGTAACAGAATAAGGCTCCTCTTTATGGGAAGCAGCTGGCAGGGCAGACTTTTTTTGTTGGAATGAATGTTTTATGTGCTGTTTCCTTAAAACATTCAAAAGGAGGCTTTAATGAACCTACCAATTGTTTCTCGTGCTGTTCTTGTTAACCACAAAATTGTTAACAGGAGGGCCAAGGGCAGACACTGGAAAATACACTTAATGTAGAGTATGCTTATCATTTTCTTTTATCCAGACATAAAAGTATGTTTATTAAACAGAATGTTATATGCTATTACCAGTTATTTTTTAAAAGTCTGAATAAAAAAACCGGTGAGTATATATGTTTGGGGATGAATTAGAATTCAAGTATAGCTATTTGTATTTTGCTACGTTTCATTTTAGTTATTTTTAAATCAACTTTATTGCAATATACTTTGCAGAAAATGAAATTTACCAATTTTAAGTGTTGGATGAGTTTTGGCAAATGTATATACTCTCTTGTAACCTCTGTCATAATGAAAATATATATACAGAGAGTGCCAAAAAATGTATACACATTTTAAGAAAGGAAAAAACTGTATGAAAATTGTAATACTCAATATGTACCAATAATAAAAGATGAATACAAGTCATGTTTGACTTCTGCAATTACAAGAGGTGCTCCAAGTAGTTACCATCAGTGTCCAGACACTTCTGATTACGGTGAGCTGCTGTTTGAGCAACGGTGACCACAGTGTCCGCTTGTATACATTTTTTTGGCACCCCCAGTATGTACTTATATATGTGTGTATATGTTTTTTTTAATATGTGTATACTGTTCTAGGTTCGTGAGACCATCATCATAATTGGAATATAGAATAGTTCCATCAGGCTAAAGTATTCCCATGTGTTGTCTCCTTGTGGTCAAACCCTCTCTTTACCCCAAACCTCTGGCAGCTGTGCTCTGTTCTCCGTCCCTATAATTTTGCTTTTTCCAGATGTCACATAAATGGAATCATACAGTATGTAATCTTTTGAGGCTAGCTTCTTTTCCTCACTGTAATGTCTTTGAAATTCATTCACGTTGCTGTGTGTGGCATAGCAGTTGAGTATTTTTCCGTTCATATGGATGTACACTGTTTATTCATTACCCTTTGAAGGACATTTGGGTTCTTTCTAGATTTTGGTGATTATTAATGAAGCTGCAGTGAACATTCACGTGCAGCTTTTCTGTGTGCACATAGGTTTCCATTTCACTAGGGTAAGGACCTAGGAGTGGAATTGCTGCGTCATATGGTAAGTGCGTGCAGTTTTTTGGGGGTAGGAAGCCGCCCAACTGTTACCCAGAGTGGTTGTGCCATTGTGCATTCTCAACAGCAGAGTATGAGAATTCCATTTGCTCCACACCTTCATCAGCACTTGATATTGTAAATTAAAAGGAATTTTTTAAAGCTATTCTAATAGGTGCATAGTGGTATCTCATTGTAGTTTTTAATTTGCATTTTCCTAATGTCTAAAGATGTTGAAAATCTTTCCTTGTGCTTATTTGTCATCCGTATATCTTCTGTGAAATTTCTTTGCAAATCTTTTTGCCTGTTTTTTTTTAATTGAATTGTTTCCTTACAGTTAACATTTTGAGAATTATTTATGTATTCTAGCTATAGTTCCTATGTTGGATATGTGATTTGCAAATATTTCTCCTAGTATGTAGCTTGTCTTTTGATTCTCTTAATGAAAGACTTTTTAAGAGCAAAAGTTTTAAATTTTGAGAAAGCCCAATTTATTGATTAAGAAAAAAATTTTTTTTTAATGTATTATGCCTTCATTGTTATGTCTAAGAACTCTGCTGAACCCTAGGTCCCAAAGATTTCCCCTTATGTATTCTTCTAAAAGTTATATAATTTTACCTTGCCTCCACTGTCATAGATTAATTGGCCATATAAGTGTGGGTTTATTTCTGGACTCTGTATTCTGTTCCATTGATCTGTGTTTGTTTTTGTGCCAGTACCATACTGTTTTGATTACTGTAGCTTTGTAGTATAGTTTGAAAACAGGGAGTGTGATACCGCCAATTATTTTTCTTCTTTCTCAAGATTGCTCTGGCTATTCTGGGTCTTTCATGGTTCCATATAAGTCTTAGGATTTTTTATTCTAGTGTGAAAAATGCCATTGGTATTTTGATGGGGATTGCATTGGATCTGTGGGTTGCTTTGGATAGGATGGACATTATGTGATCTTAATTCTTCCAATCCATGAGCATGATGTATCCTTCCATTTATTTGTGTCTTGTTCAGTTTCTTTCATCAGTGTCTTATGGTTTTCAGAGTACAGGTCTTTCGCCTCCTTGGTTAAATTTATTTTTAGGTATTTTATTCTTTTTGATGCAGTTGAAAATGGGGTTGTCTTAATTTCTCTTTCTGATAGCTCATTGTTTGTGTATAGAAATGCAACAGATTTCTGAATATTAATTTTTTATCCTGCAACTTTATTGAATTCGTTTTTGAATTCTAATAGTTTTTAGGTGGACTGCGCCTTCCCCACTCATTAGAGAGTTGGTTGCAGGCATTGTGACGGCGCCCTATGTACCTCAGCATGTATATCTTACTTGGGACTTTCTCCTACAAAATCATAGTGCTGTCACCTAATATAAAGTTGTTATTCAAATTCCCCCAGTTATCCTCATATAGCTTTTTTAAAAATTCAAGATTAACTGTATGATTTTATCCCACTTAGTAGCCGTGCCTCTAGTACTTCCATTTGTTTAGAAGTGTTAGCTCCCCAATCATTTTTGACTTAAGGTTGTCATTAAGGTTTTTAAAGAGTCCAGGCCTATTTTGCAGAATGTCCTTCAATTTGGATGTGTCTGATTGACAACTATTGATTAGATGCAGGTTAAAGGTTGTGGGCAGAAGCATTTTTAAGTGAAATTGTTTGCTTTCAGTGATTTATTTCAGGAGGCATGAGGCGTCACTTCGTCCCACCAAGGTTGGCCCTCTGTATCTGTGGGTTTTGCTTGTGTGGATTCAATCAACTGTGATTGAAAATATTTGAAAAAATATACAGGTTATAAATAAATACTACATTATTTTATATAAGGAACTCGAGCATCTACGGGTTTAATATCTGTGGGGGTTCCTGGAACAAATGCCCCACGGATACTAAGAGACGACGGTATATACTTTTGATTAAGAGGTGTCTGCTAGGTTTCTCAATTGTAAAGGTACCTTTTCCTGTTGTAATTAACAATCCGCCTGTGAGCTGGTATCTTGAGACTGTGGGAACATCATGTTTTTCAGTGATCTTTCATCTAATGCTCTTAGCATTGATGATTCTTACTCAAATCAATTATTGCTGTAGTGGTTGTGTAATGGTGATTTTCTGTTCCTATTCTTCTGTATTTATTTATTTATTATTTTTTTAATGTAATTTTTTTTTAATTGGGGAATTGGGGGATGGGAACAGCACTGGGGAATTGGGGGAAGGGGAACAGACAAGTTGCTGTCTTTTTGTTCTTCAGTCTAGTTGTGGAGGACGTTGCTCCACTGGCCCAAGTTGGCACCATCATTGTGCTCTTCCCGGGCGAGGCAGATCAGTCGCCGGCTTCTGGACGGCCGCTCACGGCATCTGCTGGCCGCTCACGCTGGCTGCTGGCTACACACGGTAGCCCATGGCAACCCACTGCAGCAGGGGCTGCAGCCTACGCCATCGCCCACGACTCACGGCAGCCCAGCTCCAGGTTGAGCTGTTGTTCAGCATCTTAGCTGTAGAGGGCAGTGTCACTGTCCCTCATATGTGGGATCCGAACCGGGGCCCTCTGGCGTCCCAAGCCAGTTCTTAACCAATGTGCCACTCGGCCGGCCCACTTCTGTATTTATTAACTGGATTTGTTTTAATGAAGAGATTCCCCTTTCTTTTCTTTTTCTTTCTTTCTTTACTTATTTACTTATTATCAGTGCAGAGTCATGAATTTTTTCTTCACTTAGTCATTCATTCTGATGCTTAGATTGTTGTAAATTTGGTTTGAGGGAACTACTTAATTCTGGGTTGGTAATGGTAGCAAAGGTAAGCCTTCTCTAGTATTTAACATTTCAATCCATTTGTAGCCTTGGATGCTGTAGGTATTAATGCAGGTAACATCCCTTAGTCCTTACTTTTGATGACCCATCTGTGCTTATTTTCCAGCAAATCACTGAGCTGAAGAAAGAAAACTTTAACTTAAAGCTTCGCATCTATTTCCTTGAGGAGAGAATGCAACAGGAGTTTGATGGCCCCACTGAGCACATCTGTAAAACGGTGAGTGTCCCACTTCTTGCTGCCATCCCCGGTATCTTTTTCTCATAGTCGTTCCAAGCAGAAATTTGATTAATATTTGTTCTCAAAATTAGCATGAATAGATGGAGCTGCTTTCATTTAATTTGAATTGATTATGAGGAGCCTAAAGATAATAGGATGACCTTAATATTAAGCAAAGAGATACAAGATTAATTTTAAGGGAGACTTTCTCTCTTCTTAAAATCAGAATTCTGATTTACTACATCTCGATTGCCTCTTTCTAATTATTTATAATTTAGACAAAGACAGTGAAATGGTGGAATGTCTTTGAAATTGAATCTCATTGGTACCAGCAACCTTGTGTGTCACCGTAGGCAAGTCACTTCAGCTCTCTGGGCGTGCTTACAGAGTTAAGTGATAATCCCTCTGTCATAGGGTTGTTTGTGTGGATTCAAATGAGATGACAGATGCAAAGCCCCAGCACACATCCAGGGCTGGGCAATCATCATCGTTGTCTCATTGAGGCTTCCACTGGCCGCCCAGAGTCAGGACTGTCAGTCTTCCTGCTGTACGGCTCTTCTGTGTGCCCTGTGTGTCTGCTCATAACTGTCAGAAGAAAAGTCTGTTCCTAGCTGAAGCCTTGACCTGGAAGTCTGTCTGCCTCAGAACAAACCCTGGTTCTGAAAGTTGAAAAAAGAACTTGGCTTTCTTGAAAAGACATGCATACAAACAAGATTTCAGTGCCCATGTTTTGGCTTTCTCCAGTAGATTAGCCCTTGGCCTGGGAATTATTCCATTTTTTTCTCTTCTTGAAGTTGGCACGAGTGGAAACTTTTGAAGGAGGAACAAGAACTCTGCTTGAGTTTCAGCAGATGAACTCAAATGGAGTTGTTTTGAAGAGGGATTGTACTGTACTTTTCAAGCGTTGAAAAGCAACCTTGTCCCTCAAGACACAATTTTTTTCTTCATGGGAGGGGGGAGGCAGTCTGTGGAAAGACAATGAGGATATCCCCTTTCCTGGAAGGAAGTGGTGATGCTATCAAATTGTTAAAGAAAAACCAATAGCCTGAAACATTTTACATGTACGCATGGTTATCATCTGTGTCAGAACTTCTAGGGTGATCGGAAGCCAAAGCGTATTAAACACTTTCTGTGTGTCAGGCACTGTCCTGTGCGTTTGTACATCATCACATTACTCGTATTTTAATTCTCAAGACAGCCCTTTGCAGTGGAGATTATCCTCATTTTACAGGAGAAGAAACCGAAGCTCAGGGAAGAGCAGTAACTTGTTTGGTATCATAGCTACTGTGTGAGGTGGCATTTGAACCCAGGGCTGCCCGCCTCATTGTACTACGCTGTTTCAGCACTTCTTTTCCATTATCTGATTGCATGAGGTCATGCAATGTGCAAGTTTTGTTGCATTTTTATTTCAATTTAATTTTTTGGATAGGTGTACATGGTTCAAAATTCAAAGAGCGTGAAAGATACACCCTGAAAAGACTTCCTTCCACCCATGTCTTCTAGTCCCCTGAGTCTTACCAATATTACTAGGCAGAGAAATTTTATGTAAATACAAGCAAGAATGTGTGTGTATGTATATGTGTATAAGCCCCTTTTTTACATAAATGCAAGCATGTTCTGTCCCTTGCATTTTTCCTTAATAGTATCTTGGATATCTTCCATTAATAGTGGTTTAAGGGCTCCTTTATTCTTTTTTATAGTGATAATTCTACTTTAGGCTAATAAGGTGTCTTGATTTTTGATTTGGAATGATGGTCACCATGTATATAAGTTTATAACTTTAGGGACTGGGCTTGGGAAGAATAGTCCAGTGGACACGTTAGCTGTCCGTTCTTTCCTGTTTGCTAAGCTGGAGTGCCAGTTGGTTCATCAGAAAGCAAAGCACTTAGAATCTATGATGTCAGCTCTCACATAGTTCTCTGCCTTTCTGAGAGCTGGAAAGGAATCCTCTATTTGAAGGGTGTTTCTGCAGTTTCACAGAACCACAGCTGAACACGTTGTGCATTGTAACTCAGCATCCTTTATGCAGAGATCCGTTACTTCTAGAAAAAGTTCTGCCACGTAGATGACTTCTTTAGTTCCAGTTGCTTGACATTGAAGAAAATAACACATTCTGAGCCCTGTCTCTAGACTCTTCTCATTTGTGAGTTCATTTAGTCCCCAGATCCCCCATGTCAGGTGGGCTTGGTGTATTTCACTTGCCGCTTGGGCACATTAAAGGAAAAACCTAGCTTTCTCATCTCCGGACTTGTGCTTCTGCGGACAGTTACAAGTTCACATGTCCAGTCTTCTATTCGATGTTGGCATGAAGGCAGGGCCTGTGTCTGCCTTGTTTACCAGGGTACTCAGTTCTCGTCCTGTCACAGGCGATTGGTAAATGTCTGTGAAGTGAAAGGATGAATAAAGGAGCATCTGCTGACTTACTGTGGCTTCCTCCTGGTAAAGATTGGAGGCAGAATTTGAACCCATGTCCTTTTGGCCCCAAGCCCATGACCTTTCCATTTTGGCCGACTTCTCAGCCTGGGGTACTCGGTCCCCAAGGGCTGCTTGGCTAAAAGGAGGGAGGCATGTCCTTCAAGATTGTCAATTTTACTGGAAATGTTATTTTTATTTAAAATGATGCACATGTATTACGGAATAGAATGTAAAATTGGCATGAATTATTAAAAGAAAACAAGAGCAAGATTTCAAGGACATCTTGGGTTTATAGCAATTCTCTACAAAGCAGGCACCCAGACCCCTGTTTGTACTATAAAAATTCATCCAACATTCTGTCTGGGATCCATTTGTGGGCTGGTCTGAGAAGCCCACCCTTTCTCCGCTGTCTTACGTAGCGATCTGTTTGCCCAAGGATTTGTCTTTGGATTCTCACAGGAGGTATAAGGCTAAGGCCATGTGTGACTCTTCGTTTCAGTCAGTGAAGAGGAAGATGGGTGGAGAACATTGTGGTGTCCCTTACAGAGCTGCCCTGTGTGGTTGTGGCCCTTTCGTGAGTTCCCCGAAATCTTATATTGAAATGAGACGAGGCTTCCCACTTATTCATCCACATGTTTAATTTTCTTTAAAGCTGTAACACGTTTCAACTACTACAGCCAGCACATGCATGATGGTAAACACCCAGAAGTAATTGCTTTGGAACGGTAAAAGCAAACTGCAGAATTGCTTGCAAATTTGCTTGGGGGCGGGCGAACAATTTTTAAATCAGCCTCAGTCCCTTGTATGACATTTATGTCTCGGTGTTTGAATGCTCTGGCTGTTAGAAGCTTGGTAAATTTACATAATTGTTCCAAGTCTTGAGAAATCTGGGGCTTTCTTTGGAGACCACCAGTGTTTAATAATTCCCTTTTCCCTGTGCCCTGAGGCTAATGAGGTTTCGAAAAAGAACGTCCACCTGCTACAAGCATCGCGGAGTTAGGCCACGCCGAAAGCGGTTTCCGCATGATAGACATTCGTGTGTCCTGTATTTTACACTGTGTCTTTTCTTCCCTAATCTTGTCTGGAAGAACATCGAGCTCAAGGTGGAAGTGGAAAGTCTGAAGCGGGAGCTCCAAGAGAGAGAGCGGCTCCTCATCAAAGCCTCGTGAGTACCTGCCACCTTCTCACAAGCTCGTGGGTCACCCAGGGCTTCTGACGGCTCAGTGGGTCAGTAGCATAGAACCTTGGGCTTTCTAAGCCAGTTGTTCCCCAGCTGGGCTCTGAGGACCCCAACGGGGTTTTGTTTTTATTTCATTTATGTTTCAACACACTTTTAAAGTGTCACATACTTATAGGAAAATGAACAGATCTTATACATACGGTGGGATGAATTTTCATTTAGCAAACGTACCTGCGGGGTCACTGCCCAGCTCAGAAACCAGAGCCTCACCAGCCCCCAAGAAGCCCCCTCTTTGCTCCCAGGCCCTACCCTTCTCCCACAAAGATGACCACTGTGCTGATTAGCAGTATCACCGTTGCTTAGTTCTGCCTGTTTTTGAACTTTCTAGAAATGGAATCACCTACTGCGCAGGCACCCTTTTGTGTCTGGCCCCTTTCCTCAGCAATACATTTGTGACATCCATCCCGATGATCCCATTAGCTTCAACGATCCCATTAGCTTCATTCATTGCTGTAAAAGCACTAGGGGTGAAAGGGGCCCTGAAGAACCCCTGGGTAAGGCAGAGGATGGGGGTGGGGGGCTTCAGCCAGAGCAGTTCGTTTTTCTATTTTGCTTAGAGAACATTTGAAAACTATTATTTTAATTAATTATTTAATTTAAATGTTTAGCAAACAACAAGCATAGTTCAGATAACCTAGTTTGTGATTTGGTTGGTTATTCATTCATTCATTTATTTAACAACATGTATCATGTGTATCATGTAATTATTGTGTCGCACATTGAGGATTTACAAAGAGACATTCCCTTACCCCAGGAGCTCCACAGAGACTGGTGAGTTCTAGCCTATAAACGAAGTGTAATGGAGGTGCAGTGATAGAGAGTGTTTGTGGGTACAGTGGTGACTCGCTTGGTGAGTCTGGATTGAGACTTCCCGGGGTGGACCCACCAAGGGCCTGCCTGAAGGCTCACGTGGAAATGCTTCATCTGTCGGGGCAGTAGAGCCCCTGCTGCACATGGGACCAGCACGAGGAGCCTTTGGCTTCGGGTGCAGCTGCCGTGCTCTGGGCCGCAGGGCCAGCAGCTGTTGGCTTTGAGTAGACCAGAGGTCCCCAAGCCCAGGCTTGACCTTCCACATGGGCTATTTTCTGAATGAGTGACTGAATGAATGAATAAACCAAATGAACACGTTTTTGTTGTAGTTTTTTGTTTTTTTTGGAAGCACATCATCCATCAATCTCTAGGCAGGAAGTCAAGTCTCCTTTCCCAGGCCTGAAAGTCAGTACTAAGCACCCTGCCTGCTGCAGGTTTGGCTAGGACTTGTTTTCAGTCAAGAATGTACATGTGGAAACCCAGACTCCTCAGTACCAGCACACAGGGGCGCGTGCTCATGTTTGTATGCACAGACTCCCCAAACAGCCAAACTGGTGTTCAAGGCCCTGTTGGGTCCGACCTGATTTCTCAGTTTATTCAGAAAATATTTATTAAGCCGCTGCTCCTTGCTGCCGTAGACTAAGTTCCTGGGGATGCAGTGTCATCCACACACACTCATGGGGCTTACATCCTGTGCGGGTGATGGTGATAAAACACTTGCAGTAATAAATATATCAATACAAACTGGGAGAAGAGCTGTGAGAAAAATAAAGGGAGCTGTGAGAGTTTATAGCAGTGGGAGTAGATCCATAAATACAGATTTAGAGTGGGGAAGGTAGCCCCGAGGAGGGAGCGTTTCCGATGAGATCTGAGGGGTAAGTGAGACTTCACCAGGTGGAAGGTGTTCAAGGGAAGGGAATGTGCAGGTCTGAGGAAGTCGGAGAAGTCAGGGCGCGTGGCCTTGTCCTGCAGAATCTTGAGGCCTCATTAGAAATTTTGGTCTTAATCCTGAGATCAAAGAGAAAGCAGTCATGGGTTTTGAGCAACTGACACAATCAGAGTTTTGTTTTCGAAAAGGTCACTCTGGATGCTGAGTGGAAAACGCCTTGTAGGGGAAGCCTGAGTGGAAACGACGAGACCAGTTAGGAGGTTAGTCCAGTAGTTTAGGTGAGAGGTTAGTGACGGAAGTGGGTGGGCGGATTGGAAAGACATTTAGGAAGCAAAGTTAACAGAACTTGGTAATGGATGGAAGGGGACATGTCAAGGATGACGCCTCGGCTGGGGGTTAAGATCAGGAGCTCGGCTTAGGAATGTTCACAGTGACTCAGCTGCTCCAGCTTTCTCTCCAACGTTTTATCCTGAAGTCCAGCTCACAGATACTGAAAATGTTCTTGTTCCTGCTGTTCTCATTTGGTCCTGACAGAACGCTCCCAGCCCGAATGCCTCTCCTCTCGTCTACTCTACAGAAAGACTCGTGCTGAATCACATGGCTGCCTTAGCCCACATCAGCCTCCAGCAGCTTCCCTGGCCTATAATGGCAATCCCGTGTGTGTGTAGCACTTTTCAGTTGATAGTACACGTTCACGTCTATTTGCATTCCATCATCATCTGAGAGTCAAATCATCATTTTAGAGAGGAGAGAATTTAGTCCCAGAGTGGGGAAGGGCCGTGACTAAAACCATTCAGCCAGAAAGATCAGAGCTGGGATTAGAACTCAAGTCTGTGACTTCAGGCCAGCACTAGGTTTCATATTCTTTTTATTAATAACTTCATGTGTGTTTCTTATTTCTGCAAACTACTGTACATTTTCTAACCAACAGCCTCTTCTCCTTTACTGGAGTTCAGGGCCAGTGGCCAGGCAGGGACCCTGGGCTGGCTCTACCAGCAGTCGGTCTGTGGCCTCTGAGCCTGGCTTCTCATCTCCTCCGACTTCATGGGCCGTGTGTGGATTCCCTGCTGCCATAGGCTATGCACACTGTCTGCCCCGTATCCGCTAAATGTGCCTTTCCCTCCAGCTGCCCAGCACCTAGCAGTGTGTGTGTGAATACTTGTTGATGGAAAAATAGCTTTTTTTTTTTTTTTAAGATTTTTTTTTTATTGGGTAATTGGGGGGATGGGAACAGTGCTGGGGAATTGGGGGAAGGGGAACAGACAAGTTGCTGTCGTTTTTTGTTCTTCAATCTAGTTGTGGAGGACGCTGCTTCACTGGCCCAAGTTGGCACCATCATTGCGCTCTTCCCGGGCGAGGCAGATCAGTTGCCGGCTTCTGGATGGCCGCTCACTGCGGCTGCTGGCCGCTCACGCTGGCTGCTGGCTACATACGGTAGCCCATGGCAACCCACCAGCTGTCGCCGGTGACTCACAGCAGCCCAGCTCCAGGTTGAGCTGTTGTTCAGCATCTTAGCTGTGGAGGGCAGTGTCACTGGCCCTCATGTGGGATCTGAACGGGGGCCCTCTGGTGTCCCAAGCCAGCTCTTAACCATCGCGCCACTCGGCCGGCCCGAATAATAGCTTTTTATGAATGCCCTCAACTCCCTTTTTGAGTTTTATGGTTGTTGTTTTTTTTTGGGGTTGGGGGGGGCGGTAGGCGGGAGATACAGGAAAAGCCCCTGCTTTCTCCCGAAGAACTATAATTAGAATGGAAAGAATCAAGAGGAAATGTTGACGGTTAAAAAGAGGAGCGAGGGTGGTGGTTATAGAGGGTTCTTTTCTGTGTTGGGTGGAAAACTGGATTAGGTCAGTTTTTTTCAACCTTTCCTCTCTTTTGGTCTTGCTGTCTGTCCGGTCTGTTGGCCTAAATTCGCTGGGGAAAGAATGGGTAGAGGGAGGGAACTGACATTTATTGGGATCCTTCTTTGCCCCAAACCCTGTGCCTGGCACGTGACATGCTTTATTGCATTTGATTTTCTAGCAGTTATGTGGGGCAGCCAGTGCGCCCATTTGAGGGAAGAGAAAACTGAGGCTCAGAGGAGTGGGGAACTTGCCCAAGTTGGTAACAGAGCTGGGGCTGGTCTGGCTCTGCAGCCCACTCTGCCTTGCTGTGCGGTGAACATATATGGTCACAGGCTTTCCATTGTTCTGTTTATCAGTTACCATAAGGGGACATTAAAAACAAAAGCAGACATATTGTCGGGAGTAAATTTTATCTTTGTAGCTTTAAAACACAAACAAAAACAATAATTCTATTAGTAGGGGAAAATTGCACCATACTGCTGAGTATAAATTTTATTGCTACAGTAACTGTAGAATACAAAGATGATAAATGAAAAGTTGGAGCATTTATTATTGGGCATATATTTTATTGGTATAACTAAAATGCAAACAAACTGAATATACCAGTCCTTGTTAAAAACGGTAGTTGGCCTCTTGACAAAGTATGTGATGCCGACTGTAAAACATGAAGGTTCGATCTGGGCTGACCGGAGGGAGATGGTGTGTTTGCACTGACGGGGTGGTGTGGCGGGGTGAGAGCGAGCCATTTTCTATAGGAGGCTCTGTAAAGCCCTGTAAACCAGGGGTGGTTAGAGGAAATTCAGGACTGGAAAAGTCTTGTATCTAAGGCTCAGGAAGGAAACGCCCCTAGTCCAGGATTTTTGCAGCCACATATGATACCTCTTGAGGAGTGACAGGAATGATGGCAAATCGCTGTGAATTCCAGACAGCTCTGATCAAGAAACGAGCTGGGGGCGTGAGGGCTCAGGACATTGCACAGCATTCATCAGGAACCAGCAGTGGTGGCCTCAGCTCTGGCCAGCAGATGATCTCTCCTCAGCTCAGGCGCCAGCACAGGGTGGAATTAGTGCCTTAGAGCATCTCAGCAGGGGGCCAGTGCTGTGGTGGCCTCAGGGACAACAGGCTCTCATGTGGCACTCAGACCAGAGAGAAAGCGCACCGTGCTACAGCCAGCACATGTGTTCATGTTAGCACATCTATTCTACGAGGTCATCATCTTGTTTTTCAAAAGTGGAAGCTGAGGTGTAAGAGGTAATTTACCCAGAGTCACCCTGAGGACACAATAGAGTAAAAACCTGGAAGCAGATCTGTGCAGCTTCAGAGCCCATGTTTTTTCTTTCCAGTTGTTCACATTGAATTCCATTAAAATGATATCACAACACTGGGGCCTTCTGAAGGCTTATTGGTGAAAGAAAGCAAGATGTGAATAAAGTCTTTATTTGCAGGCAGCTCATGTCTGAGACTTGGACAGCGAGTGTGGCTCTCTTGTCTTTCCATTGTTCTCAGTCAGAAACTCGCATGGCCCGTACATGTGCATGTCTGGTCACGTGGCTCTTGGTTGGAAAAGCCTGAGATGCCCCTAAAGTAGGGCATGGGCGGCCAGTGGTGAATGGGTTTGTTCTGTTGCAGTTCTTCTGAGAAGCCAGCTTTAGGTGGAGCCATTTCCTTTATATTATTCTGCCTTCTGGAAACCCGCAATCATTTTAGAGATCGGATGCGAGCTGCTCTGAGCACGTGGCTCGCAAATTCATCTCCAACACTGTTTCTCTCCTGGGGAGAGCCAAAATGAAAGGCGGCCGCGCTCGTGGTCCTGTGTCGGATTTTGATGTCCCATCCTCCCCACTGCTTGTCAGGCGGAGAGAATAGCCCATGGTGCCATGCGCTGGGAACTGCGTTTTATGTTAGAGCAACACCAGTGTGCGCTGCTTGCACGCTCTCGCCTCACGCCCTGAGTGGTAGCTGGTGCTCACACAGATGGCTGTGCTGTACTGACAGTGCCTTCCCCTCCAGCTGGCAGAAGATGAAGCATACAAAGCCTTAATCCCTCAGATTTATTTTTGTTGCATACTGTTCCTTTGCACACTGGTCTGTCAAACCAGCTCTCTACTTTTCCTACCCCTGGGGAACAGGTGGACTTGGTTGGAAGCTTCCTGCTGGGACATTTGATAATAGCTGTCAAAAAGTCTTAAAAGAGTGCTTAACACTTTGACCCAGTAATTCCCTTTCTAAGGATTGACCCTAAGGAAACCACTGGCTAGTATACATACAAGGATGCTTTCATCATAACGTTGCTTATAATAATAATAACACTAATATTTATTGAATACTTTGTACTGTTCTCAGAGCCTTTTATGAGTAAGTATTATTGGACAAATGTGTAAAATCAGGAACAATCTTTTAAAAACAGGATTGATTTAATATATTACAGTATATTTCATGTAGTGAAGTAATATGTAGCCTTTAAAATTGTGGTATAGATTTACATTTATTGATACAAAAGGATGTTTACAGTGTGTTAAAGAATAAAATCAGGTCACAGATGTGTACTGTATGGTTCTATTTTTGTAGAAAATGTCTGAAAGGCTATATACTAAAATCTTAACTTCGCTATCCCGAGTGATGAGAGTATAGATGATTCTTTTTTCTTTCTTTGCTTTAAAATAATATATATGTTTCTGACACATAATTGACATATAACATTGTGTAAGTTAAGGTGTACAACGTATTGATTCGATACATTCGTATATTGTATGATCAGTGGTTTTGAACTGCAGATGTTAATTAAAATAAAAAAGAAGCTGGCCCGTGGGAGATGTGACTAACAAAAATTCCTTGTCTCTTGGGGGGACTGAAATCCCCATCTGCTTGCCGCCCTCATGCATCTTACGCCCTTGCCTGTGTTTGCAGCAAAGCAGTGGAGAGCCTTGCCGAAGGGCGCAGCTCTGAAGTCCGGCGCGTGAAAGAGGATGCTCAGAGGAAGGTGCAGCAGGTCGAGGATCTCCTGACCAAACGAGTGTTTCTCTTACAAGAGGCAAGTCTGGAAGCGCCGAGGAGACTGTTCCTTACAGTGGGTTAATAACGGAGCGGGCAGGCTTTCGTTCCTCTTTTCGTAAATTGTCAGGGTTTCAGCAGAAACAAGAGCCAGCCTTATTGAACGTCTCTTGGATTCCAGCCCCATTCTAAGCACTTTTCATGTAGAGTTCGTACCCTGATACCTGTAAATTGGCCATTATTGTCTCCTTCTTGTAGGTGACGACACTGAGGTATGGAGAGAAATACTAACTAGTCCAAGTTTTTTTTTTTTTTAATTTATTAAATTTATTATTGGGGTGACATTGGTTAGTAAAATTATATAGGTTTCCAGTGTACAATTCTGTAATACATCATCTATATATCACATTGTGTGCTCACCACCCACAGTCAGTTCTCCTTCCATCACCATATATTTGACCCCTTTTACCTTCATCTACCACCCCCTCACCCTCTTACCCTCTGGGAACCACTAAACTGTTGTCTGTGCCTATGAGTTTTTGTTTGTTTGTCTTGTTCGTTTGTTGCTTTCAGTTTTATGTCCCACTTATGAGTGAAGTCATATGGTTCTCGATTTTTTCTGTCTGGCTTATTTTGCTTAACCCTGTATTGAAACTTAAGATTCCTGATTTTAAGCCCGTGTTCTTATTACAACACCACTCTTCTTATTTAGTTTAGCCCCTTTATTTTACAGAAGAGGAAAGTGAAGTCCAGAGAGGGGCAGTGACTCCCCCAGCATTAGCTAAGCTCGGAACCAGATTTCCTGATCTGAAGGCCACCGTGTGTCCGTGCAGCCCCTGTGTGTCCGTGCAGCCCCTGTGTGTCTGTGCAGCGCCTGTGTGCCATGCAGCCCCTGCGTGTGCCGTGCAGTGCCTGTGTGCCGTGCAGTGCCTGTGTGTATCCGTGCAGCGCCTGTGTGCCATGCAGCCCCTGTGTGTGCCGTGTAGCGCCTGTGTGCCATGCAGCGCCTGCGTGTGTCTGTGCAGCGCCTGTACAGGTGCCGTGCAGTGCCTGTGTGCCGTGCAGCGCCTGTGTGCCATGCAGCCCCTGCGTGTGCCGTGCAGCCCCTGTGTGTCCGTGAAGCCCGTGTGTGTCTGTGCAGCACCTGTGTGTCCGTGCAGCCCCTGTGTGACCATGCAGCCCATGTGCTGTGCAGCCCCTGTGTGTCGTGCAGCCCCTGTGTGTGTCTGTGCAGCGCCTGTGTGCCATGCAGCCCCTGCGTGTGCCGTGCAGCGCCTGTGTGTGCCATTCAGTGCCTGTGTGCCATGCAGTCCCTGCGTGTGCCGTGTAGCGCCTGTGTGCCATGCAGCGCCTGCGTGTGTCCATGCAGCGCCTGTGTGCCATGTAGCTCCTGTGTGCCGTGCAGCGCCTGTGAGCCGTGCAGCGCCTGTGTGTGTCCATGCAGCACCTGTGTGCCGTGCAGCGCCTGTGTGCCATGCAGCCCCTGCGTGTGCCATGCAGCCCCTGTGTGTCCGTGCAGCCCCTGCCCAGTGCAGTGCCACCAGTGTCAGGTGCCTCTCCTTGGGAGGCGCTGTGTGTAGCTCCTCCTCCTGCACATTCTCGGTAAGGTGCTTCCTGCGACTGATGGGAGTCAGGATGTCTCTCTGTTAGGAAATCCTATCTTTCAGTTTTTAAAACTTGTTAAAAAGTTTTCCTCCATTTAAAGCTAGTATTATGTAAACCAATTACTTAGTTCTGGTCTTTCAAGTCTGTTGTTTCATCTGACTTTCTCTACCTGAAACCCTGGTTCTTAGCAGGTATAAGAAGAAATAGCACCAAAAACCACTTCTGGATGCAAAAGGATACATTTGTACTGTTTTGCAGCTTATACTCATGATGTTCACGTTAGCCTTGTATCAGCCTCATGGGGGTGTGTGGATACTTGGTCCACAGTAAAGATGAGCAGATAGGCTCAGAGAGGGTGACAGATTTAGTCATGGTCATAAGTGGTAGCGCTGGAACTAAGAGAAGGGTCTTCTGAGCCCATGCTCTGAATTTTAGTTAAGATGATTGTGAGACTTTTAAGAGACTTAACCTATTGGTTCGTTCATCTTATTTTTCTCAGTAAGCGCTTTCCAATGTTTTGGGGTGCCAGCCTCACTGACAGTACTGGGTTGAATCCAGGTTCTGTCACTTAATTAGCTTTGTCGTCTTGGGTAAAGCATTTGCCTTCCCGGAGCCTCTGCTTCTTCACCTGTAAAATGAAGCTAGTGGCCCCTACTCTGCAGTAGTAAATACAATAACAGCAGCGGTACTTACAGTTTATCAGGGCTTACCATGTGAGGTGCCTTCTCAGTTTTTTTACATGCAGTGACTTAGTTAATCCCTTCAGCAAACCTAGGAGGTAAATACTTTTATCATCCTTCAAAAAGAAAAACAGGATGACACTGGCCCAGAGTGACCAAGCCAGCCACTGGCTCAAGGTGGCCCAGGCAGTGGCTGCCGTTTGGTCTGGCTGCAGAGCCTGCATTCTAAACAGCTCTAGCCTGCCTGTCAGCATGTAACTTTCTAGGGTTGAGTGAGGATCAAAGATAGTATAAGTGAGCTCCTTGCAAAACCTGGCATTGAGTAGGCACTCAGTAAGTGGTGTTCGCTGTCTCAGGATGTTGGATAATGATTTTTCCCACCTCTCTTGAGATTGACAGGCAAGCTTCTTGGGGAGATGGTGGTGGGAGAGGCACTGGAGGGGAAGGAGGGAGGAAACCAACGTTTTTCGAGCTTCCTGTGACGCAGCAGGCATTTGACAGAGTCTCACAACTCTGATGCGATGGTGGGTATCCCTGTGTTATAGACTGGGAAGCTGGGGCTCAGAAAGGTTAAGTGACTACCCAAGGTCACACAGCAAATACTTGAGAGAGCTGGGTCCTGAACCCAGTTCATTTTGACTTTTATCTTTGTGATGTAATCAGAGGCAGTTGGCGTGAGTAGTCGGAGGTTCCTGTTTATTCTCAGGTCGATGTCAGGAGCACTGGAGCCTTTCTACCCAACACAGGCACTGCCTGTGTGATTTAGATAATGTCCGTGGTGGATTCTGGGAGCTCTCAGAAAGAACAGAGTTTTCACCACCTCAATCACTTTGGAGATGTAAAATATGTACTCCAGAATTGTGTAGTCATTATCTAAAAAAAAAAAAAAAGAAAAGAAAAAAACAGTGAGGGGGCGGTGGGGTGTGGGATAAATTTGTATGGAGATTATGGTGACTCTTCGGAATTTATGTGTGTTTAGGTATTGAGAGGCACATTTTTCCTTGTTCTCATTGAGCTGTAAATATTGATCTGATTTTTCAAAACCAAAGCAGTTCTTATAGAGTCCTTTCCATTGGAAATGCCTATTACTCTTCAGATACAAGAGAGAAAGATGGCTGGCAAATGTATTTATTACCGATTCTCCCCATGTATAGTGCAATTCAGGGAGGGGAAATGTGCCAGAGAAAAAGTCATAAATATTTATATTTTAATCCAATTTCCTTTCAAAATGTTCCCAATTGTATTGAAAAATTGCATCAAATGCATTTAATTTAACTCTAGGATGTGAAAGCCGCCCAAGCAGAACTGGAAAAGGCCTTTGCAGGGGCAGAGAACGAGAAGGCTCTCCGGCTGAGCTTGGAAAAGCAGCTTTCAGAGATGAGGAAGATGTACAAGGGGGACTCGGACGCGGCTCGGACCCTGGAGGACAGAGACAGGTCTGGCGCTTGTCCCTGTGATGCCCTGGCTGTCTTTTATCTGCCAGCATGGGCCAGGGATTGTTCCCTTCCTTCTCTTCTCCCCCTCCCTTTTCTACTTGGTCCCCACAGTGAGAAACGAGGGTTAAAATCAGGGTGAAGGAAAAGGAATGGGACAGTGACCTGAGGCTAGTGATCGGTGGACAGAAACTCATGCTCCTGCTCAGGCACTAAATTGGGCATTCTGATTTGGCTATAAGTTTCCTGGGAGCTGAAGGAAAAAGAGAAAAACCATCCTGGTGGACATAAATTCAGCTTGCTCACAAGATGAAACAAGCTGATGACTCAGGGGAAGCCCAGTTTTCCTTGACATTGTCAGAGAGAAATTTCTCTCGTGGGTCTTCCCAGTGGGAACAGTAAGTGACTACATCCCCGCAGTAAATACTAGTGCGTTTGGTGTGGCCTGTTTTCCATCGTATCTTATATTGCAGGCTGAGGGCGCAGATTAGTATAGTGCAAGGGGCCAAAACAGTATAGACCAAGCGCAGAGCTCTTGCGTTGTCCAGGAATAGAATGTGTGCCATTTGGTCCGGAGCAATGGGTGGACCATGTATGGACTCTCGGCAGCCTTTAAGTTCATTGCCTAGCTTTTTGGAAGCCGTCAAGGGCAGGAACAGGGTGATAACGGCTGGACGGGATGAGTTCTGGGTTGACAACATATATTGATGTAACTTAGGCTACACCAGGGGTTGGTAAACTTTTGAGACGGAAGAGCCGCCAGGGATCAGCAAACTGTGGCTTGCAAGCCTCTGAAGTAAAATTGAAAATGAAAATAAAACTGTCATAGTTTCATTTATAAAATTTTTAAAGGACATTATTCACATAATGGTGATTATGTAAAAATATAGTTATGGCTCTTGAATAATTTTTAAATTGTTGAGAGTGACAGGATTGGCTTTTCCAGGGGTCGGCAAACTTTTGAGATGGAACGTACCCCAAGAGCCGCATGTGGCTCGTGAGCCGCGGTTTGCCGACCCCTGGTCTAGAGGGATTAGAAAAAGCTTCCTAGAGGAAGTCCTAGGATAAGGAGGAAGAATGGCTGTTCCAGGCTTTGGGAACCTTATGTGTGAACGTCCAGAGGCAAAAGGATGCACTATGTGATCAAGGAACTGACAGAAAGCCCGGCAGAGTATCGTTTTCTGGAAGGGAGGTGGGAGAGATGAGAGGGGAGCTGAGATGGTCTTGTGAGCCTTGTTGAAGGGTCTGGGTTTTGTTTTCAGGGAATGTGAGAAACCACCGAAGAGCTGGGGGCGAGGGAGGGGAATGACAGGGTCAGATTGGAATTGAGAGAGATCCCTGTGGCTGCCCCCTGGAGGGTGGACTGGCCCTGGGGCTGGGAGGGGATGCTGAAACCCAGAGGAGAGGAGGGTGACCAGGACTGAGGTGACCGAACTAGGATAAGGGAGAGATTGAGAAGGTAGAATCGGCATGTTGGTGGGAAGGGCTTGGTGGCTGATTGGATTTGGGGCCGAGGGGAAAGGCTGTGGAGACACCCCCTCACCCGGGTATTGAGCCTGAGCAGCTATGGGATGGTAGTGCCGTGTGCTGTGTTTGGGGACAAAAAGGGAGAACGGGATGCTTTTGGGTGGAGGGGGTGGGAAGATGAGCTTTTAGTTGAGACATGTTGGGTTGAGGGATTGTGGGCATCCAAGAGGGAGAGCCCAGGAGGTCCTGGGGTGTACGGATGAAGGCCTGAATTAAAGGAGACACCCAGCTACTGAGCGGGACTTGGGTTGGGAGCCATATTGCAGAGGTGAGCTCTGTCTTTCTTACATGGAGCTCCCAGTGTGGAAAGGGGACAGATGTAAAAACTGTCTTCATTGGTACTGGGTTCTGTGCTGTGACAGAAGCAAGGGAGTGAGTGGCTCTGCATGGGCATGGGGCAGGGAAGGCTTACCATCACAGGAGCAGTGCTGGGAGCTGGGTGAGGAGGCCTTGCCACACTGAGGGAGCAGCACGTATAAAGGTGTGCAGCCTGGCACGTTTCAAGGTAATCGGAGGAAAGCGGCCCCTGTCAGCATCCTGTCAGTGGTCCCTGGCTGCCGAAGCTTGGCTTCTCATCTGTTTGCAAGAGGGAATTTGGGAAGGGTTAATGCTTGTTGAGTGCTTACCGAGGTCTAGGCAGTGGGGTTCTCCATGGATGGTTAATGCTTGTTGAGTGCTTACCGAGGTCTAGGCAGTGGGGTTCTCCATGGATGTGGGTGGTCAGGCCAGGCTTTGCTTAAAGGCCATGTCTTCTGGGGGCTTCCTGTAGGTTGGGCTGGATAAGCGCAGAAACCTGACTTGTCAGTACTGTGATGTGTCTATCTCGGGTAGGTGCCCCAGCCTCACTCCCAGAGACCAACCAGTGTAGCAGCCAGGTGCCAGCCCTGGATTCCTGCTCGCCTGGGGCGTGGCCCTCTGTGGGGGAACTCTCCTGGGACTAGGCTTAGCGTGTCCCCTCTCTGAAGGCAGGCCTGCCCAGGAAGCTAACTCCAGGTCAGAAGGTGAGTTGCTAAGCACGGAATTGGAGTTGGGGTCCTTGGCCGGAATTGGAGTTGGGGTCCTTGGCCGGAATTGGAGTCGGGGTCCTTGGCCGGAATTGGAGTCGGGGTCCTTGGCCGTGCCCTGGTGAGGTGAATCCAGGTCTGCCACGCAGATGGACTGGCCTCTGGGCAGGGCCCTCACCGGCCCTCATGTCCTTCTGGGCTCCCAGCACCCTCCTCAAAGGTACGTGCTGTAGCCACTCCGTTTCCTGCAGTCGGACCTGAAAGCTAGTCTGTATCTTTAGGGCAGTTGACATTGAGGATCCCTGCAGGTCCATATGGCCAAAAGATATATTTTATTTGGCTCACACAGTGTTTTTAAAAGTTTGAACTAGTTACTAATACGTTTTTTTTAAAAAATATGATTTCATGTAAAAGTCTGGATTTCCAGCTTCTCTTGGAAACCTGGAAGGTGTGGCAGGACTGGGCCATGGTCTTGTTGGATTGCGGCTGCCCCCTCAGGGGGGCCTGAGGTTCCAGCTCGGCCTAGTCCCCACAGGCCTGCCCCACTCAGTTCCATCCTTCTCTAGAACTTTCTTTAACGAAAAAATCAGTTGTGTTGAGGTGTAAGTTACATACAATACAACACATCCATTTAAAGTGTACAGTGTGGTGACTTTTTACCTCTCCAGTCGACTACGTGATTTCAGAGTTGACTCCTAAAGGGCACTTTTACTTGTCTTTTCAGGTTTTGGGGGGCACTGTACTGGTGTTGCCTGCATCCTCCTGTATGTCCAATTCTTAGTCCCTTGGGCTGTTGTAGCAAAATACCACAGACTGGGTTGCTTATACACAATAGAAATGTATTTCTTACAGTTCTAGATGCTGGAAGTCTGAGATCAGGGTGACCGTGTGGTCAGGTGAGGCCCCTCCTGAGGCCCCCGTTCTCACTGTAGCCCCACCTGGCAGAAGGCGCAAGGGCTCTTGCTGCAGCTTCATTTATAAGCGTTCCACCCTTGTGACCTCATCTCCTTCTAAAGACCCCCACTTCCTGATGCCATCCCTTTTGGGAGGTTAGGATTTCAACGTATGAATTTTGGGAAGGACACAAATATTCAGGCCATGGCTCTAGGGCACTGCCAGGTGCGTTAACTGCTAAAAGCTCACTCCTCGGGAGCCAGGGAAGCTCGCTCAGACCGCCACGCCTTTTAAGGCTTAGCTAGCAGCACCCTTCTTAGAGTACTTTGACAAAATGCTAATTATTGGATGTTTAAAAAATAATAATTATCGCAACTGTCAATTTGTTGAGTTCTGCCATATGCCTGGAGCTGTGTAGGGCTGTTTTCAATAGCTTATCTCCATTCCACATAAACAGGCTCTCCCCATTTTATAGCTGAGGAAATGCAGGCTCAGGGAGCCTAAATGACTTGGCCGTTGTCAGGGAACAGCTGATGGGTAATTTGGTGGTCCTGAGAAGGATGTGCTCACCTCTACCTGAGGGGGGCTTTGAGGTTGTCAGTTTGCACAGCTTCCTGGAGGACAGTAATGCCTAACAAATCTGGCAGGATGGTGGGTGTTTATCAGGTGGAGGTGGGGGTCGAGTTGTGAAGGGCGTTCCAGGCACGTGGACTAGTGTAAACTAAGGTCTAGATGCACAGAGCAGCCTGGCTTTGGGAGAGAGCTGGACTTGCGGCTCTGAATGGCGATGGAGCGGGTGATGGCTTCCCGTGAGACGTGAAGATGGCGCTGTCAGCAGGGCCTCTGAGCCCCGGGCCCTGAAAGCTCGGGCCTTGAATGTCTTGCCAAGGATCTTGGCCTTTATCTTGAAAGTCAGTATATTTTAAACTTTGCCCTGGGAAGCCTTGGAGAGATGTTCTCTGTTTTTTCACACTTACCGGAATAGTTCTGCTTTATTGGTCATGTTGGTTTAGCCTTCAGTGCCACATTTCTTTTGGAGAGGGGATTCTTGGCCAGAAGAATTGGTAACCCACGGATGTTGGTGGTGGGGGCTGTTGAACTTCTGAGCAGGGCTGTGACTCAGTCAGACCATCGTCTGGCAGCTCAGAGGTTGATCGACCAGGGCCAGGCTGGAGGTGAGGGGACAGGCAATGTCACACGAGTTCTGTCCCTTCCTCTCTGACCTACGAAATGCGACTCGCTTTATGCTCAGTCATTGGACAGGTCTACTTTGAAGGTGTCGAGCCCCATCCCCTGCCTCCTCTTGCTCCACCGAGCTAAGGGAATAGCTTAGAATTAATATTTAAATTTTGTTCTCTTTTAGACTGATGGAGGAGGTGTGCAAAGAAACTGTAATTCTGTGCCTTAAAGGACAGAAATCTCAGGTGGTGTCTGTTGATGAGAATGTGTCATCTGGAGAGCTCCAAGGACTTTCTGCTGCTGTGAGGGAAGAAAAGGAGAGAGAAACTGAGGTGAGGTGACAGGACACAAAGGGGGGACTTTAATTAGCAGACCAGACTCTTGGATGGGAAGCAGAAAGCACGTTCAGTCCCCATGGTTCACAAACAGTCTGCTTCTAAACATTAGCTCCCTGTCAGCTGAGGAGTTAGTAGAAACCTCCTTTGTCAGGGGTCCTGGCATGTTTTTTCCCCTTCAGCCTTGTGTTTTGATAGAGTTGGTTAAACAAACAGTGCAAACCTGCTTGCCTCTGTTTTACTGTGTGTTAGTTTGTTCTTGCCCGGGGACTTTATTTTCATCCCTGGAATGTTCTTAGGGTGACACTGTGGTACTTACCCATTTTACCTTTTGTGGTTAGAGGCAGGCTTAAGGCCAACTTGGGTCTGAAACTTCAGAGGCAGTGGGGGCCAGGAAACTAACCTGTACTGGGCCTGCCAGCACACAAAGGGGTTCAGCTTGCCACCTCATTTCACCTTGGCTGCCTTACGAAGTAGAGGTCATGGTTCTTCATCGAGTTTAGAAACAGGCTCAGCGTAGAGGAGTTGTTATATTTTTTCAGTCTCCAAGAGGTGGGTTATTAGTACCCAGTCCAAACCCCGCCTCCCCTGCCCCCTACGCCGCCCCCACCCCCCTTTCCCACATAGGCAGTCTCCCTGCAAGCTATTTTGAAGGGGGGGGGGCAGGACCTGGAAGTGCAGGTAGGCCTAGTCCAGACCCTCCCATTCTTGTTGGACTGCGGGTGGCTGCTGCGTGTGGCTTGTTCACATGAGGGGACAAATAAGGCTTGATTTCTTTATGGAGCGGGGTCTCCTTTGTCCCTAACACAGCAGTAAATTCTTCAGCCTCACCAGTTAGTTTTTGGCTGTAATCAGCCTTTGTCTCCTGCTTTTCTCTTCTGTCTCCTTCCTAGGCCCTGATTTTTAGGCCTTTTTCACGGTCCCGTAGCTTCCTGGTTTACTCTCTGTGGGGCTGCGGACCAGCCAATGTGGGCGGCTCGTCTTTACATTTTTCTTCACTCGGGTGGGACTTTGGGTGACTCCGAGAGGAGTGGACACTTGTTTTCATGTATACCACAGCACTGGGGGACAGTAAGTAAATAAGGTGCTCATTCTAATAGTTCTGGGGAAGCTATTGGATTGTGGGTCCCTTCCGGGCACCAATTAATGCCTTTTCTTAGGCTGCACAAACGGAGCGCCAGGAAGAGAAGAATCGCTTTGAAGAGAGGATCCAGGTATGCTGATACAGGTTTTAAAAATGTACTGAAGATTTATCCTTGCCTCTTCCTTTATTCCGAGTGCAATAGATAATTCTGTGTGACAATAGCTGTCAGTCATTGAATGCATCTGTCTTGCCAGTCAAGCTTTCGGCATGGTAGAGAGGGCTTCTCAGTCTTTGCAATAACTGTAAGGTAGGCATTCCCATTTTGCAGGTGTGGCATTTGAGGCTCAGAGAGGTGAGGTCCCTTACCCAAGGTCACGTAGCCCGGAAGAGGCATAGCACGGATTCCGCCTTGCCAGCCTGATTCCAGAGCCACTTCTCCATGGCCCCTTAGTCACAGCAGCCGGCTTTTGTACCGTGCCTGCCAGCTTCGAAAGTGCTTTCATGTCCACTGTCTCATTTGATCCTCACGGCAGCGTGCGAGGGAGGCAGCGGAGATTATCTTTAGAAATGAACTCAGACTATAAATGTATATGTTCAGTCTCCATCAAATCAAATTCTCTGCTAGCTTTTGTAGCATTAGGGAATGAAATTAATGATCTGTTATTTCCCCCAAATAACCTGGTGCGGTTTCAAAGACTCTGATGTGACTGTATTCAAATTCCAGAACGCGTTGGAGTCCTTCCCATAGGAATAGCTGTCATCGTCTTAACTGATCTGATCCCCTTCCTTTCACACAGCCCCGTTGCCGCGAGCGGTAACACAGTAACTCGGAGCTGATGCCACGATGTTCAGCTCCACTTGGAAACATTAATCACAGGTTGACAGGAGTAAGATAGAATAACTGCATTTCAGTGTGCTCTTAAAGATATATTTACAGTGCATTTTGGTCGGAACACATCAACTTAGAGAATCTTTTTCTAATCTAATTTAGGCACTTCAGGAGGACCTGAGAGAGAAGGAAAGAGAAATTGCTACGGAAAAGAAAAACAGTTTAAAGAGGGATAAAGCCATTCAGGGTCTAACCATGGCATTAAAGTCAAAGGAAAAAGAGGTATGTCTGACAGACCTCAAGTGAGATATTTCTTTATTAGCTTCTGTGACTGGCCTGTCCTACCCTGAAGTTTCAGCTTTAGCTACAAAGTTGACGAGAGAGCTGAGATGACTAAAGGAAGTGGGGCGGGGTCCTCTAGGCAACGAGAAGCTCATTGGGAGTGTCTAATCCAGCACTGTCCAATATGTGAGGTACGTATGCAATTTTACATTTTCTAGTAGGCACATTAGACAAAGTAAAAAGAAGCAATGAAGCTGACTTTGATAATGTAGATATGCCAAATTGAACATTCTTTAAAATCTGACGTCCAGATATGCGTACAGCACATAAATCTCAAGTCAAACTAACCACATTTAAGTGCCCAGTGGCCACAGGTGGCTAGTGGCTTCCATATTGGACAGTGCAGGTCTATTCTTTAGAAAGATAACATAAAATTGGGATAAAGGAGGTCAGGGGTGGTGGGGGGCAAGGCCATGACTGTGAACCAGTTAGATAGCTACCTGGGTTGTTGGGATCCAAGGTGGTGGCTGATGGCTCCATGCTGTTTTCTTGTCATTGGTATAGCAATCTGTTGTGTCTTAGTAACTGTGATAGACACAGAAACAGAAGAAAACCCCGCTCTGCTCGCAAACCTAGTGGGGAACACAGGGTGAAGGTGTTGTGATTGAGGGAGGTGGATGTGGAGCGAAGGGGACCTAACCTAGATTAGGGTGTGTGTGTGGGGGGAGGGTACTTCAAGGAGAAGGTGTCTGAGCCGAATTTTAAAGGACGAGTAGGAGTTGGTTGGCAAGGGAGGCCATTTTGTACAGAGGGGAGAACGTGGGTCAAGGTATTAAGTTGGGGAAGAGCCCAGTATGTTTTTGTGGAACCAAAAGCAGTTTGCGGTTGTCAGAACATTAAGGGCAGAGCTTCAGTGAGGAGAGAGAAAAGCTGGAGAGGTTGTCAGGCGCCAGCCCGTGGTGGAGGGACTGACCGTGACCGTGTTTCGCTGCTTAGGTGGCACGCCACTGAAGTCTCTTAAGCAGGAGGGGTGTGACCACAGTGCATTGTGCAGAGTTCTCTGCCTGCATCCAGAGAGTGGACTGTAGGAAGGAGACAATGGAGCCGGGGGGCCAGTAGCCGAGGTGAGAAAGGCTGAATTAGAACAGTGGTCATAGCAAGAAGGAATGGAGAGGTGGGCTTATTCAAGAACTAAAATTCACAATAGTTAAATAATTAAAAATTAGTCAATTTGGGGAAATTTGATGATTAGATGTAGAACTTGAGAGAAGGAGCAGTCAAGGATGACTTCTGGCCGGCATGACTCGGGATGTGGTCATGCCATCAACGTAGACGCATAGAAATGGCATGCGATGGGACATGGGAGGTGATGGAGGTGGCGAGTCTTTTAGAAAGTTTTGACTTGGAGGAGTCTGGACCATCCAGGAGGCAGGTAGATCTCCACGTCTAAAGCCGCAGGTCTGAAGGCGTGGATCTCGGATGTGAGTTAAAATTCTGAGAGTTGATCCACTTATCCAAGGAGAATGGAGAGTGGGAAAGAGGGAGGCTGGCGATTGGACCACAGGGGACGTCAGAATCCAGGGACAGGAAGAGGCATGCACAAAAGAGATGGAAGGAGAGGTGCGGAAGCATGAAACTAACCAGGAAACTGGCGTTGAAGGAGCTCAAGGAAGGCAAGAGTTTGAGCCAGCAGCAGCGTCAGTTGCAGCAGAGAGCTGCTTATAACAATAGTAGCGACAGTTTGTATCATGTGTTGGAGTTCATGGCCCCGCTGAGGCTGGAGACCTTCTGTATGCAGTGGCACTGGCGGGTAGAGCAGCTCTGGGTGCCCACAGAGTCCACGGTGTGACCACGGTGGTCGATGGCTGTCCCTGGGGTAACGGAGAAGGTCACTAGAAGATGAGGAATTCTGGGCATAGCCAGGCTGTTGGGTGGGTCATCCAAGCGGATACTACTACTACTACTACTACTACTACTACTACTAATGATAATCATAATCATAATAATCATAATAATCATAATAATAATAGTAGTAGTCATCGCAGTACGAGCCAGGCATTGTTTTAGCACCACTGCACGCCACTTCATTGAACCCCCCAATGCTGCAGTTGGGTGAGTGGTGGTACCCTCATTTTATTTTTATTTATTTTATTTTATTATTAGTTTCAGGTGTACAGAACAATGCAATAGTTATCTTTTTCACCCCTCACAAAGTAACAACCCCCCTCTCTCCATCCACTGCCCTCCCACCCCCAATATCATGCTTATCTATTACAATTCCATTGACTCCATTCCCACTCTCTACTCCATATCCCGTGACTATATGTATATATAATTATAGTTGACATACAATATTATTCAA